TTCTTACCAAGCGCAGCGCCAACAGACAGTACTTCGCCCCTCGCAATTTTGCAGCGTGGATAAAGACCTGTGTACTTCACCTTGCGGCGGTCGCCAACAGGGCGACGCCGCCTGAGATCGCGCCAGTGCTCCAACCGTTCGCGGTGTTCAGTTTAATTGAGACCGTCTAAAGACAGCGCAAGCCTGAAAAAACACAGGACGGAGCGCAGCTCCAACGCGAAGTTGCACTTGGGAAGAAGATTGGGTGCCGCAAGCGCTTTTGGAGTCTCTAGATGACACCACACACAATGACACAAGCAGCATTCTTTTGTTGCAGCATACTCGGTTTGGTAGACTCCGCGCTTTACAGCCATCAAACTGTACACGTTTGTGAAGGACAAAGACTGTAACAACATATGATGGAATTTGCGACGTGTTTTCTGATTTTTGAATATGTGCTAGCAACTGTTCGGTTGAGCGACGCAAGACCGTAGTTTAACCAGCTTGAACTTCCATGCTGACCAAACAACGGCAGTGCGTTGCAAATGCTTTAAAATGCCGCTGCTGTTAAGCGCAAATTCCACCAAGCAATTGCCATGGTGCTGACAGCCCGTGTCGGTGTTGGCCATGTGCCACAGGCATGCAGAGCTCAGTGTAAAAGTTGAACTTGCATAGAAGTCAGTTTCGTAAAGAATGTTGTTTCATCGAGTTTAAAACATGTTCTCAAGCTTTCGGAGCATGCAGCAAGTTCCTCCAGCACTTGTTAGGCTTGTTGGTTCTGCATTGCAGGTGGCATGTTGTAGCCTTCACCGTGGTCAAGGCAGGTGTGACTGCACATGTTGAGCCGTCGATGTCACCTTGTTCCAAGAGAGATCCCGCCACCAGTCCATGTAGAAGACCACAGCGAAGTCAGAGAAAACTGTGCGTCTCTTGTGCAGCAGCAACATCGACGGCTGACATGTTGAGCAGATCATGGGAGCACAAGCTTGGGCTTGCTGTTCTTCCGAATGTTGTCGATTTCCAAAGTATGTGAGTCCTCGAAGCGTGGATGGACGAGGCTCGGATAATTAACAATTCCACCAATGTTTCATGGGTGTTGCACGACTTTATGCAAGACGTCTTGTTGATGTTCCAGAACAGTAGCCAAGCCATGTGTGCTCAACCGAAGATTCAACCGAACGACGGGGTTTGGAAATTGTAGAACAAAGCCCAGTGGCATGGAGGAACGAGACAGAAAGAGAGAGATACATGACCGTGCATAGAAATGGATCTTTGTGCAGATTAGGGTCCCTTTTGGGTTCCAAACTACAGAGTGCCGCATTAAGCGTAGAGTTGTGTAGGGTTCCCCACAAGGACTACAGAAACAATTTTTTGACAGTTACCCATATGTATACTTACATGCATATACATATGCAAAAATTGTATATGTGCATAAAGCATACAGCATGTATCACAGCATGCACATATAATCGTGCTTGTCTTTCGATTGCAGGCTGCCTTGACGCCGTTTCCAGAAGACCCGACTTTTCAAGGCTGCAAGCTTCGTGTGGGTGTTGCGAGAGCGCAAAGTTTCGCTTGCCTGAGGGGGGTTTTCCTACTACGGGTATTTGTATTCTATCTGTTTCGAGCTTTCTTCCGATTTCGTTCGAGGTCTGGCGTTCTTCTAGTACCGGTTGAAGGGTCTATGCTCACATCGAGGTGTGCTTTGTGTTTGTGTTATGCTGATTGTTGGCACGTCAACCTACTTTACCCCAGAAGCTCACTCCGAACTGCAGAGGTGTGCGTCGCTTCCAAGAGGAGATTTACATACCGGAGGCTACATGCCTCCAACCATGTGTCTGCAATGCCTCGCTTGCCCGTCTTCGCATGGGTTGCTGCATTTTTCTAGTCTTAGAGAAAGAACTGCGGCTTCGTGTCAAAAACGCACCAGCTCACAGCGGCATCTCTTTGATTTGATGTTTCCTAGCCCTCGGGCCCTTGGGCCCTAAATCCGAAACCATCTTACATGAGACACAGGCTGCTCTCGAAGATATCGGGAACCACTGTTCCAGCCTGGACGGACAGTCGGAGCCCCAGCTCGTAGATGCCAGTCCAACGTGGCATTCGTCACATCTTTGTCCTGTATCTTGAAGTATCTTGCATGTGGCATGCTGTACACGATGTGACCTTAAGACATATGTGTTGGTTTCGGCCACCTTGTGTTTTTCCGGCGCGCAGAATCTCGGATTCAGGGTTTGGCCTCACCGGCCTCAAAGGACAGTTGAGAGGAGTCCTGGTTGAGAGTCACCAGCCCTTAAGGCCCTTAAGGCCCTTAAGCCTGGCAGGTGCAGACTCCTTCGACCGCAGACACAGGAGCTTGTGTTCTCTCAGCCAGCTCCCCCGTCTCCTATCTTAGATGACATACAGGTGTACTTACGCCCCTCTCTCTCTCGCTGTATATATCTAGTACAGTTCATGTCGAGTCTCTCTCGCTCTCTCTCGTTGGCTCTCCTCTTGCTCGTCTTCAGACGAGAGCCGTGCTCGAGCTGCGCCTTCCAAGTCAGCCTTGCAGGACATACCGGATGCAGGCCCGGGCTTTTGAAGCAGCCGGCAAGCCCCGTCCTGAACCCGGGAGGCATCTTCTCCTTGTTCGGTGCCCTCGACGGAGAGTTGGGGTTCTTCGTTCAGGACGAGGCGGGGACGTTGGGATTCTTTCGAGTTCCTTGGAGACTCTGCTGAGGTGTCGGCCTACTTCGGGGAAGATCCGGCAAGGGAGCGAGGCTCGAGTGCAGCCCTGGCGGAGTCTGGAAGAATTGGTAGAAGACCACCCGAAGAAGCGAAGGCCCTGAGGTTGCTCTGTAAGCTGCAGTGTTCTTCGAAAGGCAAGAAAGAGAAAGCCTTCGTTCTCCTCCACTGATTGCTCTGCACAGCAAGGTAGCGAGGATTCTACAGATTCCTGGCAATCCCAAGACAAAGCCTCAAACTCAACATCCAGAACCCCGGGTTCTAAGAAAGCCTAAACCGAACAGAAGCTCAGAATTCAAAAACAGATGTAGCCAGGACCGCAGCCCGGCAGGTGTGTCGCGAGCCCAGGGTGCTGCGATATGAAAGCCTTTCATCTCTCGGAGTTTTTCCTTCACACGGAATCCAGGTGCATGTGAGCTTCGATCACGTGCCTCCGTACGGCCCTCAGCCCGAACAGACTTCATCGGTCGGAGAGGTGCATCTTTCTTGCCTCAGTGGTCCGCATGATCTCAGCAGCGGAGTGTCAACTGTCAAAGTCTCATGCCTGCGAGACATCCTGTAGTCGCAGTTCGGGCAATTTGGGGACTCTCCTTCAACAGCCACTTCGTACCCGCACACAAGTGCGGGTCTTTCCCCAGGTGGCAAGCAGAGCCGCCTTCGGTTCTTCAGGCATGACGATGGAAGCTGCAGTCACAACAGTTCAAAGGGTGGTATGAGTAGAAGGCTTGGGGCAGGATCTTCCAAAGCCTGCCGCAGTGTGGGCATGCGTGCTTGCGTTAGTCTTTGTTGAGGACAGGCTCTTGAGCAACGTCTAACCTAGACTCTCTCAAGAGATTATTCTCAGATCTCACCATTGATTCTGGCTCTTAAAAAAAAAAGGTTGTTTCGATTTACGCAGCTATCTGAATTGCATGACAAAGTCACTCTTCTGCCTTCTTCTGCAACCAGCAGGTCACCCCGAATTTGCAGATGCAGCTGGAGGGGCAGTTTGTGCTCCTCTCAGCAACTTCTTCGAAAACAAGTGGATGCAGAATCCTAGTAAACCTCACGACCAGTGCAGTAGCGGCAGTATCTGCCAGAGAAATTAAATCACGTCTGTCCAAAGCAGGTTTCCGAAGCAATGCTCCATAAGTGAGTAGAGCTGTGAAGCCTTAGCCTTCTATAAGACACTCATTTCTCTTTGCTACTGGTCGAGACCCAAAGCCCGAATCCCGAAACCCCTAAGCCTGGATTCCCGAACTTTGCCGCTGGTTGAAGTCACATATACATATATAGTATCTATCTATATCTCTATATATCTCTATACCTCTATATCCATATATCTCTATATCTCTATATATCTCTATATCTCTATATCCATATATCTCTATATCTCTATATATCTCTATATCTCTAGATCCATATATCCCGATATATCTATACATCTCTAGATCTATATCCGCTTGCTCCTCGGACCTGAGGCCCTGGGAGTGCCACCTGTCGCAGGCACAGATCGCAGGCCACAGCAGGCCCGGGGTTCCGGGGATCGGGCTTAGGTTTTAGGACTTTACGGGTTTAGGGTTTAGGGGTTTGGGGCTTAGGTTTTAGGACTTTACGGGTTTAGGGTTTAGGGGTTTGGGGCTTAGGTTTTAGGATTTTAAGGGTGTCGGGTTTAGGGGATAGGGTTTGGGGGTTTGGGGTTTTTGATTTTTGGGGTTAGGGTTTGGGGTTTAGGGTTTCGGATTTTTGGGGTTAGGGTTTGGGGTTTAGGGGTTAGGCTTTTTGGGGGTTAGGGTTTAGGGTTTAGGGTTTTTGGGGTCATGGAGCATGGAGGAACTCTTGGAAGTCCGAGCTCAGGCAAAGGTCCACTTGGAGGTGCAAGCATCCATCGTGTGCCCCACCTCGCTCGGGTTGATCGCATGACTGGCTTTTTTGGCCTGTTGGCTTTCGGACTCGCTTTCCGATCTGCAAAGCTCTTGAGGTACATACGTTTCGTGGAGCAGCCGGTCATTGTCGAAAAGCTTTGGCTCTCGCGTGACCTGCCCATGGATGGGCATGCAGCTTTCCCAATTATTCTCCGAGGCCGTCACAATGTTGAAGAGTACTGGTCAGTGTATCTGCGTTATGTGGATCTCTTGGAGCAGACGTGGGTCAGCCCAGCCCTGTCGCCCGTGCCGATCAGTGAGATCGTAATTCTCGGCGGGCAGGGCCTGCGAATCGGGTCAATGCACCTTGGACCTTGACTCTGTTTCTTGTTTTGGGGCACTAAGCAGCAGCAAGCCCAGCAAATGCAAGTGCTGGGGAAGACAGGCGCAATCATAGGCCCCGCCCTAAGCCACAAACCCCAAGGCCCTAAGACCCCTAAGGTACCTCTCCGTGCTGGACCGTCACCACGCCGCCAACGCTACGGATGCCAGTCAGGCACAGGGCTGGCTCATGGCGCCAGCCCAGAAGTGCTTCGGCTCTGTTCACACCGGGCCTCCGCCCAGACCACAAAGGTCATCATGATGGACCCAGCCACCGAATTTTTTCGAGAAGCATATGCCAACTAGGTGTAGCAGTAGACGAAGAAGCCGTTTGTGTCCCACCCACCCGAAAGCACCGAGGATGCTGTCCCTCCACGACGTCCTGATTGGGAAGCTCCCAGTTCGGACGCACTCTGCTGCTGGGTTGCTGTTAAGGACAGGAATTGAATTCCGTTTCCCACAATTATGGGGACATATATTAAACAATAGGGTTTCCTGATTATGGTAACTGAACTTGACTGGCAAGGACGGGGAAATGTAGAACACAATAATGGGGTGGGTTTCCTTATGTTTAGTGGCTTAGCTTCAGTTCTCTATAGCCAGAACCCAGGCTGTGCTTTCCCTCGGCGACGTCCGCCGTGGCGCCTTACGTCTGCGCCCTGATCTCTTGGCGGATCCCACGTCCGTGGCGGCGCTGGAGGTCAGGGGCTGCTCTGCCTGTACTTTCCCTTTACACTCTGTAATGCTATTTTTTTTGTGCAAGCGCAGGGCCCA